CAGGGTAAAGGAATTGGGATTCAACTGTAGGTCATTTTACTGGAAGTCTTCTCTCTACATCACTGCATTCACCTGCCACAAAATGCAGTGGAGCTATGCCAAGATCAGTGAGTTAAGAGTAAATCTGAGAAATCCTACTGGTGTTAGGCATAGTAAGCTAAATAACTGGCCCTTCCAGGATGCTTTCTTAATTTTGCTTTTTGTCTAATTGAAATATAGGAAGGCTGTTTCCTAGACTACCATTGTGCACTTTCTTCTTCCTTCAACAGTATTTGTAGATCACTTCCATAGCATGTGTTAGGTCCCAGGCCGATGAACAAAATGGCACAGCTCTGGTTTCATAAACTTGCATTCTAGTATTATACTGATTAGAATCTTTGATGTTCTCTCAATAACAAGCAGCAATAACATCAGGTGAGCAGATTAAAATGTTTAGAGATGGCCCCATATTCTATCTTTAGGGATAATCACAATATTACAATATCACAATATTATTTCCACAAGCAACTCAAATGATTCTTATGTTCACACTTACTTTCAAGAACCACTGCCTGCTTGTCTAGATTTCATATTGTACTCTATCCCACACCTAATATTTCATGATAGAACTCTTGGCTCTTAATAATGTTCAAACCCATTTCCTGCTTCCTTTACTGGAACATTCTTGCCTTGATTCTGTTTCTTCCTTCTTAAACTTCAGGTTTCAGCTTACATATTATTCCTCTAAGTAACCTCTGATTGCTTAATTTATTGCAGATGTTTCTCATCGCACTCAGGAAGTTTCATCCTTCATGAGTCTCTGCCCAATCTATACCTATATATTTATTTATATTTTGTCAATAGAATATTCCAAGCTTCTTATGTAAGAGGTAATAATATTTGTTAAACACCTGAATAGTTATTTGGGTGTTTACATATTTTTCACAATATTTAATATGCATAATATTGGAAATCATTAACTCAACAAATATTTTACTGATTACTCTTAGGATAATATATTTTTTACATTAAAAATTTTAGAAAACATTTTTTTCAATAATTCCCATATTACATGAAATTTAATTAACAATAGTACCCACTATTAGTTAAAATTCATAGTATAGTAGAGTTAGAATTAGAATATTTTAGGATTTTCTCTTGATCACTAAAAGCAAATTAATGGAACTCCATTTCAATTTGATATTACTATTAAAATTGCTTACAATAAATTCTGGAAGCTTAAAGTAGCACCTGATTTTTATTTTCTTTTTAACTTGCATTCAGTTGAATGCCTTTTTTTTTTAAGATTTATTTATTAATTTTGGAGAGAGGAAGCATGAACACATGAGCTGGGGGAGGGGCAGAGAGAGAGAGAATATTGAACAAATTTCCCACGGAGTGTGAGCCTGATGGATTTCACAACCCTGAAATCATGACCTGAGTGGAAGTCAAGAATCTGACGCTTACTGACTGAGCCACCCATACACCTCTCAGTTGAATGTCTTTTAACGTAGTAGATTTTCATATGATTCTTGGGAAAGAATAACCCGATAAAAAATTTTATAAAATGAGAAAAGAAATAAAACTTTTATAGTTATGATGTTCCAATTTCTACAGTACCTTTACTTTTTTGCTGTGTGGTGTATACATAAATTTATGAAATAATTGCTGTGTCAATAAACTACAAATAGAAAATAATAAGACATCATTATTTAAGATTTCTGTTACAACTGTTATAATTATTACTTTTTATAAATTATTTTTTCAAAGATTTGGAGTTTATTCATTAAAATTATCTGTTACTTATTTAAGACCTTAGTTCTTTTTTTTTATAAATTAATTTTTATTGGTGTTCAATTTACCAACATACAGAATAACACCCAGTGCTCATCCCGTCAAGTGTACCCCTCAGTGCCCGTCACCCATTCACCCCCACTCCCCGCCCTCCTCCCCCTCCACCACCCCTAGTTCATTTCCCAGAGTTAGAAGTCTTTATGTTCTGTCTCCCTTTCTGATATTTCTCACACATTTCTTCTCCATTCCCTTATATTCCCTTTCACTATTATTCATATTCCCCAAATGAATGAGAACATACACTGTTTGTCCTTCTCTGGTTACTGTGGCCAAGTTCAAAAAGGGTGTTGCCTGAGTTCTCCTCTGGGATTTTGATGGGATCTTGTCTCACATTTAGATCTTTCATCTATTTTGAGTTTATCTTTGTGTATGGTGCAAGAGAGTGGTCCAGTTTCATTCTTCTGCATGTGGATGTCCAATTTTCCCAGCACCATTTATTGAAGAGACTGTAAGACCTTAGTTCTACCTGTTATCTGTTATCAGGTATAAAATTGACTTTAGCAATTTCTTTTAAATGCCTAAAATTTTACAAAGCCTTGACATAGCGTATTTGTCCTTGGCCAGAAATACATATATTTTCCTAAAATTAATTTTTTATCACCAAGTTAATGACTTTTTGTTATAGCTTTATTATTTTCATTCTGATAAGTGATGTGATGATAGTCAAAATGTTTAAGCATTAATCTTAATAATTAAAAAAGTGACATGTTGGTAATTGGATTTTGAAATACTATTTTCACCTCATATCCCCAAATAGATACCCCACATGTTAAACCACATCATCTGAAATGTGAACTTTGAGGTGCCTGGGTGGCTCAGTCAGTTGAGTGTCTGACTTGATTTCGACTCAGGTCATGCTCTGAGAGTCCTAGGAGCAAGCCCCACATCAGACACCTCTCGCTCAGCAGAGATTCTCTCTCTCCTCCTGCCCCTCCTCCCTTGCTCATATGCACCCTCTCTCTCTCACCCTCTCTCTAAAATAAATCTTTGAAAATAAAATAACATACCTTAGTTTATTATATTTAATTGATAAACAAGATCTAGTTCCAAGAATGTAATTTTTGTTTCCTGCATTTTAGAAGCGAGAGCTTCTCTGATTTGGAAACATAATATTTTCTACAATAATGGTACAATTTCATGTATATGAGAAAACAGATTTTAGAAATTTTTTAGCCAAAATCCATTTCCAAAGATATTTTGAAATCTAATATTTTTCCTTTTTTTTAATGTCTTAACATTTTAAGTTGCTTTTGATTCAGTTGATTTCTCTTTTAGAATTTAAAATGTCATTGAAAAATACTTTGTAATAGTCTAATACTAATCAACACTTTGCAGTCAGGCCATTTGAAACAACTATGTAAAAATAGATAATTTCCAATTTTTATCCTTAACTGTTTAACATGTCTCATATTTTAAACATGTTACATAGTTTGCAAGGCATTTTGAATAATTGACTTTATTTGGTCCCTATAATTCCACAAATTTGGTGGGTCTGGTGTTCTCAATTTTATTTAAAAACAGGAACAGAAAGAGGAAACATTTTGTTCGGAATCAGCCAATGAGAAAGTGACAGAAACAGGACTAGGTTCTACTTGCTTATTTACTGGAAAGAATGGCTTCACCATACAGATCTATGCCATAAAATTACCTTGACATTTGGATATCTGTATGCCCAAATATATCGGAGAAATACCTATATAATTATTTTTCCCAAATTATATTACCACAGTGTTTCTTCTCTAAGTAGAATATTGCTATGCAAAGTGTTTTCCTGTCAATTTAATTAACTTCACTTTTCACAACCTCTGTCACATTGGAGAATAAATTGTTTCTTACTGGGGAGATGAAGTTACCAGTCTGAGCTTACCCACCGAATCAATGGTGAAGTCAAGGTTAGAATTCAGAGCTCAGGATTAGAATTTAGAGCTAAAAGAGCTACTAATCATTTCTGCTTACAATATCCTGAGTAAGAAAAAATAATCATAACAGACCAATGTAATTCAATCTCACTATAATGAGCAAACATTTAAACACAATAAAACTGCATAATATAAACCCATTTGCTATTGCCTCTTTAAAATCTAAATATAAAAATGTTAGAAATAAAAACTGACCCAGGGAGACATAGAAATTAAACTAAATCCATTAAATCAAAACTTCTAGAGGTGGATTCTAGTCACTGGTAATTATAAACATCTCCCCAAGAGAATCTCATGTGTAACCTTGGTTAGGAACCATGGGGCGGAAGTAGAGGTAAACAAACTTTGTCTGTAGGAGGCTAAATAGTAATTGAGACTTTGCTGGTCATACAGCCTCTATCCCAACAGTCTCTATCCCAGCAGTTCAACTCTGTCACTGTTAGTGTAAGAACAGTCATATAAGCAAGATGTAAACAAATGAATGCAGCTGCATTCCAATACAACTTTATTTGTGACATTGAAATTTTAATTTTATATAATGTTAATATATGTATAAGAGTATTCTCTTTTTTTAACCATTAAAATAACACCAATATTATGGGATCTATTAAAATAATAGATGAGTCAGATTTGGCCCCCTGGCCATGGTGGCCAACCTTTATTCCCTGGAAATCCAATTAACCACTCACTCACTGTGTGTGTGACTATATTTTATGGTATTCCAATTATGGAATGTATAATATTCTGTTACATTCACTTGTCTTTGTTCTCAGTGACTAACATAATATGTGGAACTTGAACGGTATAGTAAATAAATACATAAACCAGCGAATGAATACATTAAGTATATCCATGCAACCAGAATTGCCCAAGAAATTATTTTGTGCCTTCTCAATTGATAAATGTTCATCATTTAAGTGGAAATTGTTCGCAGAGTACCATTGCTTTTCACTTGACATACTTATTTGACAAATATGGGCTATATGGTTATAGAAATAGTCTCATGAACCAAGAGGAAAGGTATGTTTATCTAAGGCATGGCCTGGTCTTAGGACCTTTGTGTTGTTCACAACTTTTCAGACAAATCCAGTTTTCTTTTTAAAAATTATATAAATGTATGTATCTGTGAACCTTCCATAGTGGGTTGTTTTTGTTTTTGTTTTTGTTTTTGTTTTTGTTTTGCAGGGTGCCTTGCCTTTTAGCAGTTACCAATGCTACATGTTGCCTCTCTGTGTTTTCTTTGTTTAGCTAGAGAGATTGCAGGCTGAAAATATCTCAGAGTGGGACAAGAGGGAAATGCTTGAAACAGAAAAACAAGGACTGGAAAAAGAAAATAGAAGGCTAAAGGCCCAGGTGAAAGAAATGGAAGAGCTCCTGGATAGGAAAACTAGATTAAGTTCAAACTCTCAAGGTCCGGATTTCAAGACGTCACAAATTGAACTGCAGGGGAAAAGCAAGGTACTGGTCCTCCTTGGAAGCAAATGTTCTCACTCACTATACGTGCCTCCCTGGTGCTCAGTAGATCTGCCTTCACTTCCACCCACCTCCAAATCTGAACATTTCCTTTCTATTTAACATCTGATAGCTTGCTCTCTTTCTCATTGTGAGGTAGAATAACATTGTTCATGAATATGAAAACAGAGTGTAACCAGTTTTGTATGAAAATGTTACAATACGACAAACTTGACAGTTCCAAGCTTTTCCAAAAGGAAGAAAAAAGTGAAGGGATGGACCTTTGTGGTTTTTGTTTCCTTTTATAGTTTTGTCTCAGTATTTTTCAAGCAATTGATCTTATTTCTCAGTAAGTATATTTCTCGATTAGTTTGAACAACTGTCTAATAAGCATTTGTAAGCAGCGATAGTATCTGCATAAACAATTCAATTCAGTGGAAGTTTACTCCTCTGGTTCTTTTCTAGTCTCAGAAAAATTATTTTTGAGTCATTTCAAGTGCCTCATATTGCAAATACCTTTTATAGCCTATAGAACAAATACGAAAACTAGAATTAAATTCAGAATCTGACTTTGAGAACTTCAAATTGCAATTGTTTTATCCTAAAGCCAATAGACATCATTACTGCATAGATGGGATTTTTAAAAATAAATAGCTTTTAGATTTTAAAAATAATCTCTTAATGGTGCAATTTGTGTGTTTTATTGTCAACATGCTGAAAAACATTTACATCTTGTTTCTATTTCTTCCATTAAAGTACGTATAGTGGGCAGCCCGGGTGCCTCAGCGGTTTAATGCCACTTTCGGCCCAGGGTGTGATCCTGGAGACCTGGGATCGAGTTCAGATCAAGCTTCTCGCATGGAACCTACTGCTCCCTCTGCCTGTGTCTCTGCCTCTCTCTCTCTCTCTCTCTCTCTCTGTGTGTGTGTCTCTCATGAATAAATAAAATATTTTTAAAAATAAAGTATGTATAGTATCTTAATGCACAATTCTATTATTTCACTCTATCTTGTTAACAGTGAATTAAAAGTGTGTTTGATAAGCTCATATTTTTTTAATTATATAAGTAGTTCATACTCATATGAGCCCTAAAAAGCTAAATGGCCAGAAAAATTGAATTCCATATCACTTTTCTTTATTCTTTGTGATTCTAGGGATTAATTGCATATGCAAGATTCAATTGCATTGGTGTTCTGTGACTTGGCAGTACAGATATCTAAAATGAAATATTATAGTCAGCAATCATAATTTTCTATTATATGGATTCAGAAACCAGCCATAATAGTATATTTGATTCTAACATATACAACTGATAAATCTGTAGAGATGTTTTTATACAGATTTCTACTTGTGGAAGAACAGAATTATTTCAATTATGAAACAAGTTTTGATCATCAAAATACCTGTTTGCATTTGAGTCACTGGAACAGAACAAGTTTTTCTATTACACTCTGTATCACTTACTGCAGTAGAAGCTGGGTGATGTGAAGATTAATGAATCATTATCCCTGCCCAACATGGGCTTAAAGTCTATATGGGGAGATAAACACATAAATTATTATCAGTAGGACATTATGATGAGGCTAATAAAATAGAATGAGAATATGGATGGAATAACTCATTCAATTTCATTTTGATTCCTATCTAGTTACATCAAAATATTATAACTTAAAATATGTCAGTTAAGAAATATGAGGGTTGAATGGGGACTCTTTGGAACTGGCATATACATCAATTGGCATGTCCTGTCAATAGGGCACAGGGGCCAGACCTGGTCTCTTTGGGACAAGTGTAGTTCTTCAGCTTAGAACTAAACAGAAGTTGGAAACTGAGAAGATTCTGGAAGGCCTGACCAAACCAGTGTGTTCATAGTCAGAACTTATGTGTTCATAAGTCAGAAAACATCAATTGTCTTGATGACCAGGAAGAGGTGTTGGTGATTCCAATGCTCTTCATTAGGATTCAGACTTACCCTTGAACCAAAATAATTACTTATCATAGTGCAGCTGCAGGTCAAAATCCTTCGTTCCACAGAGACCCCCACTGGGATTGAGATTCAAATGTCCCCAAACACCAAATGAATCAAAGCTGCAAATATGCCTAAGTCCAGAGAATACTGTAGATTTTATTATAACATGAAGCCAAATTGTAGTTTTAATATTTTTTAAATAAAAGCTATTTATATGTATATAATTACACATACAAATATCACATAGGAGTATTCTGTGTATATAGGTATATAATTACCATATAGAAGCACCATATACTTATGTGAAAATAAGTTCTATATATAAGTAACACTTATATAGAGGTGCTGACATATAAGTGCCAAAACAGTAACTACTCAATTATCAGTCTCTAAAAGAGGTGTAAAGTCTCTTACTGTGTTATCTTTATATCCAATCACATTTAACAAGTATCTGTGACAGACACGGAATTGCCTGCTATTCACAGAAATCTCCATATCAATAAATTGTGTTAATTTCTTGAACTTTAATGTTCTCATTGTTCAATGACTTTTTAAAAATAAATCCTTATTTATACAAGAAGGGAAGAATTTCACATACATATTTGAAATATATAGTGCTATATTTTGCATATATTTGGCTTTCATATTATAGGGAATAGATTTTTAAATTTTCATTTTAAATGGCACTATTGCGGCACCTGGATGGCTCAGTCAGTTAAGCATCTGCCTTCTGCTCAGGTCACTGTCTCAGGGTGCTGAGATCAAGCCCTGTGCCAGGCTCCCTACAGAGTCTGATTCTCCTGCTGTTTCACAACCCTTCCCCTGCACACACTCACACACACACACACACACACACACGCTCAAATATAAAATAAAATAAAATAAAATAAAATCTTAAAAAAATAGTGTAAAGTACACTATTAATTTAAGGACAAAGATTCTCCTTAGCATGAATGATTGCATCACACGAATCTCCATCTTGTTGTTGCTTTTATGTCCTATGTTAAAGCTATGTGTGCATCAATCTTTTACAATTAAACATACAGCAGCATGCACCTGAACTTTTAATTAATAGATTAGAAAATTACTAATCAGTAAGAATACTTGAGAGGTGGGACCATGCCTATGAGAGATACAGGGAGAAGGAAGTTCTGAGACAACTTGGTAAATTGTGTGATTAAGAAAAGGACATCTTCACAAAGGGGTGGTGAAAAGAAAAAGAAAACAAAGCTTTAAGGACTTCATGAATTCTGATCTCTTTCTGAGGTTTTACTTCCACCTTCCTTCCTTCCTTTGTTCACTTCCAGGAACTTTTAGGAGGACAGAGAGAAGAGGAGAGAAGAGAGGAAAAAAGAAGACAAATGAGGGACAAGGAAGGGAAAAGTGAGGTTTGTGCCCATGATAGAGAAGACAACAAAATAAACTGGGAACAAACACAGATAAACTAATATTTATCAAAATATGCCCTTGTTTTGCTGTAATGGAGAAAATTAGAATCATAATTCCCAACCACTTTCCTAGATATGATTCCTGTCCTATCAATGATGATTTACTTTATTTCCTTTATCAAGTGACAGATTTTTGTACTTAGAAAGCTTTAATTAACTCTATTGTTATGCAGTGTATGTATTCTCCATTCCAAATAAGACTTCTTGAAGTGAAAAGTTATTGGATAAAGCTGTCAGTGTTCTACTGGGTAAAGCCCCATGAACTAGTCAACATGCCTCTCATGAAGTTTTTTGGAGGTTTGTTTTCTTAAGTCATTCTGGCAACTGAACTCCTTCCTTCAGGTCACACAATTGGTCATTTTCAGAAAGTTAATGTGACAGAGTGGTAATTGATGTGTCTCAGGAAAATGATGAATTAGTCTAAAAGTGGAAAGGCCATCAAAGTCAATTCCTAATGAATTTACTTTTCTGATAGTGTCCATTCCTTGAATAGGAATGACATCACATTTATTTTGTTTAGTAACTTTACCCTTAGAAATATTTTATTTTCATTCAGATGTTTAGCAGGTAAACCTATGGATTTGTTAACTTTTCTGCATTCACTATTTCTCTTTCAAAACCTTCTTTGCTCATAAAATTTTTGAATAATTTAAGAATAAAAATAATACCTATTCTTATACTGTTATAAAATAGTAATAATTTAAATACCGAATAATGTAATTAGATAGGGTCATTTCATGTTTTCTTTTAACTATTCTTATGTTGCTTGCTTTCCAAGGTACATACCCAGAAATTTTAATTTTTGACATAGTGATTATTTTTGATATATGGAAATTTTTAACCCTTTCATATGTGAAATGTATTTTGTGTATAAAAATGAAAATAATTCATTTTTCTTTGAGGCAAAACACTAAGCTACCTGTGGATGTCATTATGAATTGATAATTTAGCTATTTCATAAAAATTAGAAATGCATCCTGATTTTGTATACATTTTAACAAAAGTGAATGGGATTGAATGGGTTGAGCAGAACAATGTTCTTTTCCCCAGGAATTTCTGAAATTACCAGAGACAGACTCTTAAGTACCGTTTATGAATGTCATAAAGAGGTATCCACTGAGAGTTCCCGTGGGATTGAAATAAATCAATATACTGCACAATAGGGTGACACTTTCTCTAATATAATATGACTGCCCTCACTCACCCTTAAACACACATATGCCTGCATGCACACAAATGTACATGCACATACATACAATGAGTTGATTTTTTTATAAATAAACTCTAAAATAGGAATTTTATTTTTTCTGTTTTGTGATTCTCCACCAGAGAGAAGGTAAGATTTTGTATATATGAATCCTTATTTCTAGGGATATATTATCACTGGGTGGGGTTTCACTTTTTCACAAATGCAATCATAGCTTATTAAATAAAATTAAATTTATTAAATTAAAATTATGAATAGTAAATCTCAACTACTACAGTGTTTGGCGCACCTCCATAAATATGTGCTAGATATATAAATAAATGAATTTATGTTCCATTTTCATTATTTAAATTTCATTTAATTAAATATTTAATTCTTCTAC